CGGCCCCCCCGGCCCCCCCCGCCGCCCGCCACCCCTGCCGCCCGGCTTCCTTCCTCCTACCCCAGACCCAGCACCCCGGAGCCGTCGCCGTCCCCGCCCCCGGGCCGCGGTGGCCCACACCTGGCGCCCGCGCGCCCGCCTACCTTGCTCCTTCAGACTAGTGATGAGCTGCAGCTGCTTCTCCTCGTCCGAGCTGTTCATTTTGGCGGGTGGGGCCGGGAATAAAAGGAAAGGAGGGAGAGGCGAGGGGTCCACGGGGGGAGGGGAAGAAGCAGCAAGATGCCGGTGGCGTGCGGCTCCACTACCCGGAAGTTGGATCTGCTCCCGCTCCTCCTCCTCCTGGCGCTGATCGCGCGAGTGAGATCATCCCCACGCACCTTCCCGCCCGCTGCGGCCGCTGCACCTGCAGGCTGCTGCACCTTTTCTCTGCCTCCGCCCCCCGGACTCAAGGACGCGCATTCACAGAAAATCCGCCTTGGGTCCGCAGCGTCTGTGGGAACCCCACTTTGGACGCTGCCCGAGGGCCAGTCCCCACGAACCGCCCATATGGAGCTGGACAGAATAGGCAATAAACCCACCCAATCGTCCCCAGTTCTCACGCAGAATCCTCTGCGGGCGGCAGTGGAAAGCTGGCTCCGGGTTGTACACTTTGCACCTGGAAAGGCAGACAAGCACGGAAACAGACCCGCCCAGCAAGAGCATTTCGCGGGCCGCCAGCGGGTTAAGTGACCACGCCAGGGAAGGAGGGCGTGGTAGTCCGTGGCGGTTCCCCGGAGGCTTCCTCCCTGTGCTGCAGGTTTGAGAGACGCCCACGTGGATTGCGCGCCTGGAAGGGCCTTTGGATCATGTAGTTCGCGGTAGGAGAACCTTCCTGCTAGGAAGGTTGCCCCTGCAGTCTGAACGCCCAAGGTCATACCCTGACCTCGTGAAGGCCACCATCTGTCCCACGTTAAGCGCCCTCCGCACTGATCAAGTGCAGCTCTGGCTTAGACCTCACCGGGAGGGAGGTGGCAGGCCTGCCGCTTTCAAAGATGGCTCTCCTCAACCCTATTTATTGGCTAATCTTTGGTCAAGTCTCCTGCCCTCTTGAACTTCATCGAAAGAATGAGAATAAATGGGTCAGCATGGTGTTAAGATGGCCGGATTCCCCATGGGCAGTTCAAGTCCTGGACCTCATGGCTTGAAAAACATGCCCGGAGCACGTGCTTTCTGCCTAAATTCCCCAAAGGAGGTAGAGACAGTGGAGAAGAGATTGCAGTGTGACCATTTCCCATGGGGGCGGGAGTGTTTTCTTTCTCTCAAGGGAGTACACGCACCCTCTGGCCAAAAAAAAAAAAAAAAAAAAAGTAATCATACCTGTTCTCCAGGAAGAGCTAGAAAGATCCAACCGGAAGCTTAACAAAGCACCAAATGTAATGTTTGTTTTTAAAGCTACAGGTATATGAGGAAGGGCTAGTGGTTGGTAATTATGAACTGAAACAGGCACGGTTCTTTTACACTTGTCATTAAGCATCCACAGTTAATCCAGACTGGACATACTGCACATCTTGTTCTCACTGCCTGCTCGGTGCCTGCAAGGTCGGTAAGACACCAGCTCAGTGGTTCCTCCCAGGTGACCGGATGCGGACGCCCGCCTCAAATTGCTGTCTCAGTCCCTGTGATAGAGAGCAAAGGAGGCTGCATACTGGTAAATCGTGAAACTGCTATCTCTCTGATACTTATTACTAAATACTAGCTCAACTTTGTTTAAGGTAGCAGTGTCATCTCTGTTCCTATATTCTCTTTCCCGCTGTTTCTAAGGCAATATTTTAGCAGGGGTAATTAGTGGTAGCGGCATCTAGAAGGGCACATCATATTCTTCAAAGACTTAAAATTTTGACACTTGACAACAAATTTGGGGGACCAGCAGTTGGTGTAATGGCTATGTCGCTGGACTCCCATGTAGTCTACCGTGGTTCGAGTCCCGGACCTGGTGGCTTAAACTCATGCTGGGCGCGTGTGCGTGCGTGCCCAAGATCCCAAGAGGAGAATGGAGGAGAAGGGATTGCAGAGTGGCCCCCCACCCCCCCATGATTTCTTGCTTTCTGTCTCTGTCTTTCTGGCTAGCGCATGCGCCCTGTATCAAAAACCTGTCCAAAAAAAAATTTTTTTTTTTTACTTCTGGGGACAAACAAGTGGCCTGGTGGTTAAGGCCACTGGACTCCCACATGGCTGACCACGGTTCCAGTCCCGGACTTGGCAGCTTGCTTTCTCTCTCTCTCTCTCTCTCATCTCGCTCTCTCTCTCTCTCTCTCTCTCTCTCTCTCTCTCTCTGTGTGTGTCCCTCTTTGGTCAAAATTAAAACAAGAAAATAAATAAAGTTAAATCAAATAAATAATTTTTTTTTCTACCGTGAGAGCCTCAGCCAGCCCAGTCACAGGCATGGACAAGGAGGCCTCGAGACTCAAAACCCATGACTTTCCTTGGGGTCCAGCATCACAGTTTTGTGTTCCTGCTGCACCACCACGCCACTGGCCCGTCCCTAGTTTTTCATAAGGTAGTTCAGGAGAGTTATAGTCAGCTGTGGTGAAGATCCTCTGGGGACAACCACATAGTTTGTGTCCTGAAATGATGTCTTAGTTCTCAGGGTTAAGAAAAGATCCAGGGGACCACTGTTAGTGTAATGGCTATGTCACTAAACTCCCATGTAGCCGACCACGGTTCGAGTCCCGGACCCGGTGGCTTAAACTTACACTGGGTGCATGTGTGCGTGCCCAGGATTCCAAGAGGAGAATGGAGGAGAAGGCATTGCGGCATGGCCATCCCCCCTGAGGGGTGATTTCTCGCTTTCTGCCTCTCTGTCTCTGTCTTCCTGGTGAGTGCACGCGCCCTATGGGAAAAACCTCTCCAAAAAGAAAAAAGAAAAGCCCCAGGAAATGTGAAACAATTCAGACTCAACTACATGAAAACATGAATAGGTTCTGCTACCGGTTATATGAGAAGAGAAATAACTTCTCTTTTCAGAAAGAGAGAAAAATCAATAAATAAAAAGGCCAGGAGAGGTGTGTGCCCAATTAAGACCAACTAGCTTTTTTTAGAGCAGCCGGGAAACCTGCAATGCAGAGGAACCCCCTCTGCACCTAAAATAACAAGAGCATTTTCTCACCCTCGACCTAAGCAGAGTACCATGCAATATTTGGATTAGTTCACGAAGTCCTTTCTTTTAAGTGGCTGATTTAATTATCTACTCCAATTAGACATACTTAGGTGATATTTTAGGAGTTTAAGAATGAGTTAGTTATAGAATCTATAATCCAACTAAGTTTTTTGGTCCCATACTGAGTCTACAACCCTTGAAATTAATCCCATTTGACCTCCTTGAGATTAAAATAGCCTCCTGATATTCGATATGGTTTTATCTTCAGGGCATGGTATGAATTATTAGGGTGGCTATTAGAGTCACTTATTGGGATTCAGATCTCCCATTACACTATGGTTTATTTATATGATATGAATATTGATGAGAAGGATAGAAGTGGTATAATTAGTTTTTGTTCTGTTTAATAAAACACAAAGGGATTTATGTTGCAGGCATCATGTTGCAATTATTGTTAAACTCCACAGGACGTAATTAAAACCTCCTAAAATGTGTGCATGTACATATGCATGTACACAAATGTACACACATGTATGTAGAGACAGAGGAACGGCTTTTGAAAAATGAACTGGAAGGCTGTGTACCAATCTCAAAATAATGGCTGCCTCCAGGCACAAAAGTAGAAAAATGTCCCAGGGGCAGTGGGGGTGGGGGGAAAGAGTACAGTCGTCAAAAGGATCTTTCTCTTTAATCTGTTTGATTTTCTTTGAACTAATTAAAGTCCAACCTCATTATACGTAATCTCTTGAGGTGTAGGAATTGTGATAGTATGATATATTGACATACTCGTTTTTCATTCACAGCTCTGGCTTGTAACTATTTGGCCTTTTGTTCTTGGGAAGCTCCTCAAGGCAGGCCAGAGAGCTGGTCATAAAGAAATGAAGACTCTCATTCCAGAGGGGTCCTACTCCTTCCCTGGGAGGAAAGAATGCTGCACAGGAAGCCCAAGATCTGAGAAGATGGGATTTGCCACATTTCTCCGCTCAGTCTGTTATCATTTTTGTCCAACCGCATTTCCATATGATTATCTGTGCTTCAATCATGTCTGTACAATGAAGTGTCCATAAAAAGCCCCACACCACAGGGCTCGGCAAGTTTTCAACAGCTGAAAATGTGGAGGCTTGCAGGAGGTTGAAGAACTTATCCACATAGCCTCTGTATCTCTTCATCAAACTGTAAGATAGAGAGAGAGAGAAAAGGTGTGAGACATACTTTTAACAGGGTCTTGGTGTTATGGTCCTCCTGCCCCAGTTTCCCAAATAGCAAGGGTTACAAGCTTGTGCAATAGCACTGTGTGTTCAGGTTGACCCAGGAACCAAACGTGGGTCTCTCATGTGGCTTCTAGCCTGCCAAGCCATATGTGTGTCACAGCAGCTGGGCCTATTTGTACTCCTTATCGTTCTTTATAATGAACGAGTAAATGTGTTTCCCTGATTTCTGTGAGACACTGTAGCAAATTAATTGAGTCTGAAGTGGAGGTCATAGGAACCCCAACTTAATAGCCAGTCTATAGAAAGCTGTGGAGGCCTGGAATGAAATGGAGGCAGTCTTGTGAGAGTGAGTCTTCAGCCTGGGGTATGTGATGCCATCTCCATGTAGATAGCATCAGAATGTAATTAGGTTAAGATATTCAGCTGGTGGCCACTACTGAAGGACTCCTTGCTTGGTGTTTGGGAAACACCCCTCATCTGAGGTCACTGAAATTTTCTGTGTTGATTGGTCAGTGAGAATATAGGAGAAACTGAGTTTATACCCCCCACACATACTCAGATAAATAAGATTGAAATACAATAGAAAATAGAAAAAAATAATAGTGTTAATGAGACCAAAGTTATTTCTTTGAAAATACCAAGAAAATTAAAAAAAAATATTTTACTAAATTAGCAAAGAAATTAAGAGAGATGATGCAAATAACTAAAATGAGAATGAAAGTAGGGGCATTACCAACAATAGAGAAATTTTAAAAATCAGAAAAAAACAATATGAACAATTGTATGCCAACAAATTGTATAACCTGTTATAGATGAAATGGACAAATTCCTACAAATACACAAGTGTCCCAGACTAAAGAAAAAATAGAACATTTTAACAGAACTATTAATATAACAACCAAAGAATAAGTCAGTAATCGTAAACCTTCCAATATAGAAAAGTTCAGGAACAGATGTCTTTACTAGTGAATCAACCAACTCAGATCTATTTTTAGTGATTGAAAAATATGTGAATGGGTAAATAAAAGGTAGTACATTCATATGATGAAATATTATTCACCCATCAAAAGGAATACAATTTTGGTATATGTTACCTTCAAAATGGGTCGACCTTGAAACCATTATGCTGAATGAAATAAGTCAGATGCAGAAGGACAAATAATTGCATGATTCTATTTTTACAAAGTACCTAGACGAGTCAAATTTATAGACAGTAGATTACCTGGGAGTGGGGGAGAATAGCCAAGTAATTCTGAAAAATATAGCCTCATAAAAAGGCTAAACTATAGGGATGAGAAACCTCAGTAGATGCCAGGAGTAGAGGGTGGAGGGAACAGCTGACTACGAAAAGTGCCTCAAGGGAATTTTTAGGGTGACAGAATTTTTCTGTTTGGTACCCAAGTTGTGGATACATAACTCTACATTTGTCAAAATCCAAAGTATATGCCACAAAAAAAAAAAAAAAAAAAAAGAGAGAGAGAAAATGAGAAAATAAAGTAATCATCTCACTAATGTATGAGACTACCTCCCTAAAGGGAAATGGGAAATAAGGACCCAGTTTAATGGTATTTTGACTGGATACTGCTAAGGCTAGAGACAAGAAAAACTATACATAAACACCCTGGCTGACCAGTTTGCCTCTCACAAGATATGGGTTAGTAATTCTAAAGTTACATGGATAGTGAATGAATAAATAAACTGTAGATGATGGAAGGCAGATTTCTCACCGTTAGAAGAAGTTACAGTTAGTTCTGCTACAACAGGCCCCGTGTCCTTAAAATCATCATGCTGGCGTTTTGGCTCTGAGTAGCACCATGGCGGTCGGCAAGAAGAAGCTCCTGACGAAAGGCTGCAAAAAGGGAGCCAAGAAGAAAGTGGTTGATCCATTTTCTAAAAAAGGTTGGTATGATGTGAAAGCACCTGCAATGTGCAACAGAAGAAATATTGGGAGAACACCAGTCACCAGGACTCGAGGAATCAGGATTGCATGGGCCGTGTGTTTGAAGTGAGCCTTGCAGATCAGCAGCATGACGAAGTCACTTTTAGGACATTCAAGCTAATTACTGAGGACGTTCAGGGTAAAAACTGCCTGACTAACTTCCATGGCATGGATCTCACCCGTGACAAAATGTGTTCCATGGTCAAAAAATGACAGTCCATAACTGAAGCTCATGTCGGTGTCAAGACTAAGGATGGTTATTTGCTTCGTCTCTTCTGTGTTGGGTTTACTAACAAACGCAGCAATCACACCGAAGACCTCTTATGCCCAGCACCAGCAGGTCTGCCAAATCCGGAAGATGATGGAAATCATGACCCGGGAGGTGCAGACGAATGACTTGAAACAAGTGGTCAATAACTGATTCCAGACAGCATCGGAAAAGACACAGAAAAGGCCTGCCAGCCCATCTACCCTCTCCACGGTGTCTTCGTCAGAAAAGTCACAACGCTGAAGAAGCCCAGGTTTGAACTGGGAAAACTCATGGAGCTTCATGGTGAAGGTAGTAGCTCTGGAAAAGCGACTGGGGGTGAGACGGGCGCCAAAGTTGAACGAGCTGATGGATATGAACCACCAGTCCAAGAATCTGTTTAAAGTTCAGACTTTTAATAGTGACAAATAAAAAGTCCTATTTGTGAAAAAAAAAATCATGCTGTGCAAAATTGCATAATAAAAAGCATAGGTCTCTTGGGAAAATAAAGTTGGGAGCACAGCACTCAAAAATGTTTTCAGTGATACATTTAAAACATTGTTTTTAAAGATAGAAACCTAATTTTAAAAAGCATAATCTTTTTTTCTTTTACATTTTGACCATAGGGTACATGTGCTCACCAGAAAGAGACAGAGAGAGGAAAAGTGAGAAATCACCCCTTGCCTGGGGAGGATGGCCATGCTTAATCCCTTCTTCTCCACTCTCCTCTTGGGATTCTGGGCAGGCACCAGCTTGCACGTGTACCCGACATGTCTCCCAGGCCACCACGTCCAGGACTCAAACCAAAGATTATCCCTATGGAATCCACCATGCCATCTACTGGCCCCAGCATCATAATTTTACATTCGTTAAATGATTAAGAAACACATAGTGCTATAATAATCTAATATGTTAGCTTTCAAAACACTTCAAATTTGCCTGTGAACACGGGCATCATGAAGGCTGCAGATTTTGAGTCACCGTGAAGCGTTGGAGGGGTGTGACTCCTTGCTCCTGGTTTGGTGTTGAACTCAAACATCATAATTCTTTCATAGCCTTATATCCTTCCCCCCCCCCGACTTCGATTTATAGGTTTTTCAATAAAAGCATTTATAACAAATACTGGTTTCATCAAAATTAGAATTTCAACAGAATATATACCCTGGTTCAATGAACTTTTATGTCGCCGTTGGAAATTCCTTTGCTACTTTCTAAGGCTATACTGAGCTTCCCTGACTAGACCGTCTTTGCAGACAGGTGAAGGCTTTGGAAATTGTAGTCATGTTTGAAACCACTAACCTAACCACTATCAGCACTAAAAGGAACTACTTCTGCCCTCTATAGCAATTTTGTTTAAGGTCTTCACATACAAGGCTTTCTGTCTGATTGTGAAAAAAAGATGTTCTTTGGTCTTCAATTTATCCACTCAGCAGTCTTTCGTTTCTTCTCATTCTTTAGGCCTTGGACTTATTGGCTTCAATACTTGAACTTATACTATCATAAATGCTTCTTTTCTTTTCATAGCATTGTCTCTGATTGTCCTCACTGTGGATTCTTTTATGCCTGTTGCTTGAGAGACATCACTTTTTTTGTTTCTTGTCAAAACACCTTATCAGTTCAATACTTTATTATTTATTTCAAGCTTGTCCTCCATCCCTAAAGCTTTCTTTTTGCATTCATTGCTTGGTGTTTTTCAACTGGGACACTTTGACATGTTCGGGATGTTATAAAAGTGACATAGTTCACTTCTTCACAAAATGCAAGAGAATAGCAAAGTATACTCTTGTTGAAATATATGTGATGAGCTAAGGTAGCTGTAGACGTTTGAGGTGTGTGTGTGTGTGTGTGTGTGTGTGCGTGTGCGCATGTGCACTCATACACGTTTCATGTATTCCATATAGCTTGATTCCTCATAGTACAATTTTCTCTGTTCATCCAGTATTCTTCAGGGATGAAAATACTACACAAAGGAAAATGTGAAATTTGCATCATGTTCAAATTATTTCTAAATATAGCAATTACATTAGAACAAATTCTGGTTTCCAAAGTGAGCACTGTATCACAATGAACTATGCCGATAAGGAAGAAAAGAAGATGAGCGTGAATCTTCTGGGGCTAGAATAGAGTCAGAAAAATCAGAAGTGATGGGCCAGCCCCATAGCACAGAGGTTAAGTGCTGTGCATAGGAAGCTGGATCCCACATGGCCACCACCATTGAGTCTTAGCCCTGGCAGTGCGAAAACATGCTGGGCGTGTGCACATGTGTGCCCCAAATCCTACCGAATGGAGAAATGGAGAAAAAAGATTGTGGCATGATCATGCCTCACTGAGGGGTTCTCTCTTTCTCTCTCTCTCTCTCTATTTCGTTTTCTGGCCAGCACACATGTCCTCTGTCAAAAAAGAGAGAAAAAAAAAGTATCACTAGGAACTCACATTTATTTTAATATATGTACAAATATATGATAAATACATAAAGGTATGTGTGTATACATGGGTTAATGTGCATCATTTATTCTTAGCTTTGCTCATTGAAAAGGCCTAGAAACAGAGATATCTCAGTAGTCTTGAACATGGTCAACACCCAGGAATTGATTTCTAAGTATCCTTCTTTAAGAAAGGGAATCAGGGCTCCTCGGAGAAATGGCTGATTCTAATGCAGGGACAGGAAGAATACAAGATGAAGCTGGCGTATCTTAGAGAGCTGGAAAAAGAAAAGAAAAGAGGGCACATCTGAAGGACTCTGGACCCAACCTGAAAGAGTCTCAGTGGCCACAGTTGGAACAATGTGCAACGAAACAAATGATTTTTGATCCTAACCCAGAGATTACATAAACATCCGTGAGGCCTTTCTGATATAAACAGATAACATAAATTAACAATGGAGAAGAAAAAGTAAATACATGAATGAGGGAGAAGAAAAAAAGAAAAGCTTTCTTTTAAAATTCCAGCTAATATATGTAAATATTATTTCCCACCCATGAGGTAGAGTTTAAATCTCCTTCCCTGGAGTGTAGGCTGGACTCACATGATTGCTTCCAAAGAAAGGAGATGGGGAAGTAAAAACTAGTGCCATGACAGTGGGGAAACTTAGTAGAAAGCACTTCACCCCAATGATCGAGGCTTAGTGACAAGCCATGTTGACATCTTGTACCCACTGACATGATACAAGGACAAAGGCATTTACCTCTGTGGAATTTTTTTCAGGGAAAAATATAACCACAGCCTAACAATGAGAAAAAGCATGAGACAAACACAGAGTGAGGGACTTTCTGCCACACACCTATTCTACTCTTCTGAACTGCTGAACGCATAGAAACGTGGGAAGACTAAGAAACTGCCACAGACCAGAGGGAATTAAGGAGACATGACGACTACAAGTGACATACAAGTGATGGGGTCCTAGAATAGATTACAAAGCAGTAGTAGAAAGACTGGTAAAATCTCAATAAAGTATATAGTTAAGAGTACTGCACCGATGCTAATTTCTTTATTTTGACAAGTGTACTTAAATACTGACTGGGCTGCTGAAGATGATACAGGAATTCTAGGTATACTCTATACTACCTTTGCAATATTTTGTAAATTGAAAATTATTCTAGAATAAGAGTTTAAAAATAGACATCCATCATATTAAACATAAAATTCAATAAACTAAATTTAAATACCTACATACTCATCTCAAATATTTAGCATCAATTTATGATTTTAAAAACATTCTGCAAGGAGGAGGAAAGAAGGAATATTCCTAACCTTCAGTTAGAGTGTGTGTGGGGGGTGAATTTCCTCAATCTATTAAAGGATATCAATAAAAAATTTAAAAAAACAACTCTATCTAGGGCCAGCCAAGTGACATATTGGTTAGGGCAGCTGGCTCCCACATGACTGACTGCACAGTTCAAGTCTCAGACCCAGAGACTTGAAAAACATGTTGGGTGCGTATGCATGCTTACCCAAAATCCTGGGAGGAGAATGGAGAAGGGACTTGACCTGGTCATCTCCCCTCCCCGGTGGGGGGCTGCTTTCACTTTCTCCTTGTTTATCCCTTTCTGTCTCTTTCCAACAAACTCAAGTACCCAATAGTAAACTAAGAAAAGAAGAAAAAGAAATGCAAACAAAAACCTGTATCTAAAAACACATTTAATGGTGAAAGGCAAAATGTTTCGCCCTTAAGACTGAGTATCTGCTCTCCTCACTTTTATCAGACATTTTACTAGACATCCTAGCCAGTGCACTAGGAAGAAAAATAAATAAAATGCATGCAAACTAAAGAGAAAATTAAATAGTTTTCATTCACTGATAGCATGATAATATATGTGAAAAAATTGAAGAAATTTTCTAGAAAGTTGCTAAATTAACAAGGACACCTACTGAAGTTACAAGATACAGAGCAATATAAAAAACGTCAATTGTATGTCTATATAATGGCAGCTAACAACTAGAAACTAAAACTTTAAATTCTATTTTCAATAATATTTTTTAAAAAGAAAATAATTTATAACAACAACAACAAAAAGAAATAGCTTTATCAAAAATTTGGGGGGGTTGGGACCAGCAGTTAGCATAATGGCTATGTCGCTGGACTCCCACATAGTCTACCGTGGTTCAAGTCCCAGACCTGGTGGCTTATAACTCACGCCGGGCGTGTGTGTGTGCGTGCCCAAGA